GGGAGAGTACCCATTTTACTTTCATCTACTGTTTGTTTTTGATAAGCCAACACAATGGTCATTTTAAGCTATACACACTTTGGATAACATAAGTATTATTGTTTTTTAAAACAAGTTCATCTACCCAAAGTAATAACATAGTTTTTAAAGTGATTCTCTAAACATATATGTTTTTTAACTAGTTTTGTTTTAGATTTTTAAATATTTTACTTTTCTTATAATATGTTTGTTTTGCTTATAGTTAAGCACAAAGCAAAACAATGGAATGGCTATCCGTACTGTGCCCACCACAGGTATCAAAACCCAGTTTTTATTATTGTAAGTCCTCAGACATACAGCTGTGGTGGTGGTGGGTGGGGGGGGGGGTATAAGATGATTGACAAACAGTTATTTTTAAGTGATTCTCTATTTTATGACACATTACTCAGTTTAGTTATTAAACTCAAACACCACATATTAAAAAGTTTAGGTATTATATTGTAATTTTGAAGCATAAAAGCTAGTAAAAATTATTATTCTAATTACCCATATTGTTTTAAATACACCATTTAATGCCAACAATTTTTGTTTCTATAAATGTTTTACCATGTACAATTATTCAGAATTTAAAAAATAGTAAAATTATTTACCAGGAAAAAAGTATCAAGAATCATAACATGTTGTCGAAAATATTAAATAAGAGAGTTATTCACCTGTTTGCTTTTTTTATTACTTCATCTACATTCTTATAAGGCAAGAGATGTGGGCTTCGTCTAAGAAAGGAATCCTAATGAAAAACAATAAAATTTACAGTTAGTACTCCAATTTATGATTTTGATATTAGCCCTGCATAAAAATCCTGGAAGATGAGAATATAATTAAAAATTAATAAGTAAACTACTGCATAACATACCTCATTCAGTCCGTATGTCCAGCCCTGTTGAGTACGTTCTTTTGCCCAGATTTTGTGAGTATTTTCTGCTAACTGATCGATCAGATCCTCCATTTTCTGAGTAAGTGTTATAGCACTAAGATCTAGGGGAGCTGGTTTGTAACCATTTGACTGAAGATATGGACTGAAAAATTCATTAGACAGAACACAATAACAAAATTAACACAAAGGATATGTAATACATTATAAATAATTTTATTTGTTAAACCGTATTCTCTGGTTCTTTATGTAATTTAATTTCCTTTCTTCATTAATATTTAAATTATTTTGTAAAAACAGATATCTCTTTACAATCAAAATTCCTATCCAGTGTTTCTATTTTCTGCAACACTGAGTTATATATTTAACTTGTAACTTAATATTCAAGATTAACTACAGTTATTTCAAAATATAAATAACTAAGTTCTAATGAATATGACTAACGTCTCAAAAAATTTAAATATGAATATTAGATATCTAAACTCTCATATTTTCTAATAATGCTTGGAGATGGCTTGAATGGATAATAAAGAAAAACTTTAATATAAGTTCAACATAATAGCAATTTCAACAAGGTTTTGTTATCAGTTGTGTGCTTTAAAAAACATATCTGAGATTACAAGTGCTTGTTACAGAAATAATCCTATGCATATTTCTTTATTTCATTTTATTATCAGTGAAGTTAATAGCATATTTACTTTAATCTTTATGGTATTCATTGAAATAACTAAAACTAAAGTAATTCAAAAGTATATTTTAAGGGTTAATATGATTCTAGCAACATTTTATGATTTATTTGAAAAACCTTAGTATTTCACATAATTATTAAAAGCAAAGTTTTCACTCACTCATTATGGAGTTTCAGAGTCTTGATTCTTGCAGGAGGTTTGTCTAGTGTAATATGGTATCCAAGAGCCAAAATTGTCCTATAGATTATTAATTAAAATAAATCTTTATAAAAAAAACACCCAACAGGATATCATTTCTTTTTATAATTGTAATATACTTATCTGCATCAGTTAATTTCAATATGCAAATTCATAATACAAAGTGTGAAGCAAACACAGGAAAGAAAAAGAAAACCAAGACATAAACTGTGCAGTATAAAAGCTATGCCGGCATGGCCAGGTGGTTAGGGCACTCAACTCACAATCTGCGGGTTCGAATCCCCATCAC